TATTTGTAATAGATAAGAAATGTTTCAGTCCAGCAAGTCGTATACATTTCTTACCGTTACATATCTAAAAGCTCACACAGAGAGGATGTTTCAAAGAAGCGCTCACCGACGAGTTGAGCTGTTGTAGCAAAAATTCGAGATGAGATTGTAATTAAGTTCCCAGAAAATATGCAGGGTGATACGGCCAACAGGTGCTGAAACCGCATGGTTCGCTTCACAGAGCAGATCGTCAAAGTCCGATATAGAACCCAAATGCTCACGCAAAAGACGGTGACACAAACGATTCGCATCCAATAAACTGTCCAGCTCCTCAAACAATCATCTATTGCAAACATAAAAAACAGGAAATTTTAAAGACAGGAAATCAAACACAAAAAACAGGAAATTTTAAAATTTTCGCAAAAAGTTCCAAAATAAAAAAAGTTTTTTTTTCATCAAAATTTTTGAGTAATAAATATTTTTAAAGTTGAATATTTTAGAAATTTTTTAAAGTTTTCGATTTTCTTCATCCTCTAATTTTTAATACGCCTTACTTTACTTTCAGAATACAGACGAAGACCTGGTTAAAAGCTTTTCACTACTATCTTAACAGAACTTGCAGATTTTGTTATTCTCTGAAAGTCTCCACCATAAGTTTCACCAAGAAAATAAATTTTTTCTGGAATGTCACTTACAACAACAGAAGATAATTCTTCGGATTCAAATTTCGAGATTGCAGCGTCAAGTGCTCGAAGGATAGCTGCGTTGATCCGCTGACTTACCAAACGGTTCAAATCGATTGATCGTCCCAGCAACTAGAATATGGATAAAAGAGAGCTGAAGCTCTCAGCAAAAGTGCCATTCTGATTAAAACCGGCAAAATTTCGAAAGAAGTCAACAAATTAAACACTGCATCAGTCAAGTTTTCTATCTCCCTTAAGAAGTCTTAGCTCCAACTGAATTTTTCTCTCCGATTCGAAGTTTGAGATATACAGTTTCGACTATCCTAGCTTAATTCTAGTCAAAAGAAGACACTGAACTGCTCTTATCTCTGGGCGGAAACACGATCACATAGAAGCTTTATTACCTGAACATGTCGTTGACGCAGCAAACTTTCGTATCGATAATAAGGCGGTGCACGAATTGTTATGCCCAGCGCCTGGCAATCCGCTTTGAATCGCTTATCAAGCAACATACTGCAAAATGATGAAAATAATCACAGTTACCGTGATTCTACTTCGCCCATGATATGACGAATGTCAAAGATAATCATGCTAAAATCATAAGAATACAGTAAAATAGAAGCTATTGCTATATTATGTCAACAATTCATTATAATAAGTAAGTTTTAAAATATCACATGATAAAAAATCATTCTTGATTTACCGTTATACGTTATCATAAAACTTGCTAACATGACGTACGGATGCGAGACGTGGTCATTGAAAAAAGCATGCAGTGATGGAGCGAAAGATGCCTGGTTAAATACGCAATCATACTCTCCGTCAAATATGCACTACGCAGAATTTTATGCACACGTGGGGCGAAATTTGATTTTGATGACCGCTGATGTCTCCACATTAATGAATGGCATCGGCAAGAGAAAAGCAACCACTTTGAATGGCTTCCGGCGAAATGTTCCAGATAAATCAAAAAACTGGAGCTGCTCATCGAAGGTTTGCATCTCAGAATCGGAAGACCTGGGAGAGTTCTGCTCAACGTATCGAAGTGTGCCAGTAATACCGGTAACAAGGTCCCCACAGTGACTGTCAGGCAAAATGATGTTGATGTTGTTAATAATAATAATAATAATAATAATAATAATAATAATAATAATAATAATAATAATAATAATAA